ACACACTCACTCACACACACCACAACACCTGGAAAAACAGCACTGCAGCAATTCGCGGCAAGACGGACGGACGCACACAGACAGGCGGACAAGTCAGAAAATCATCGTGCATCAGCCGATCGAGACGAGTCCGTGTTGTCTGCTCTCAAGCCATTCCGCCTCCGTGTGATGGGGGGGAGCAAAGAAAAAAAAAGCTGCGAGTCTCCTTCAGCTGCACCGGCTGCAGTAGCGGCGACGAGCCGCGGCGGTGTGAGGTGCATGTGTGCCTCCTGTCTGCCTCCACAGCTCTCACAGCAGCGCTGGCGCCTGATTTATGTACTTAACTGTAACCATGTGGCAGGGTTAAAGGAGGAGGGGGGGTACTGGAGAGGGAGAGGGAGTAGGGGTGGGTGGCTGAGGGGTTATTTTAGGAACTGTGGAGGCAACAGGCAACATGAGAGTTGTAATGTTTCCTGCAGGTGGCTGAATGACCGAGAGCACTTGCAGGGGATGAGTCAGTGTTGGCTGCTTCATGAATGGGGAAAACCCACCTCGTGTTGTGCTTCATGCTGAGTGGTTTATACAGGCCAGGCAGGGTGGTGTGACAGGACCAGGCAATACAGACCTCCCAGGAGGGTTTCTTCAAAAATAACATGCCTGTTTAAAGTGGCTTGTCACTGGGTGGTTATTCACACACACACACACACTCTACAACCCTGTCATTACCACTTCTGTTAATCAAGTATATTGTTTTAAGTGGATGCTGCCAAGTGATGCTCCATCCATTGTGTCCTAACTGAATAGAGCAGGTGCATGAATATGGCAGCCTCCAGCCTATTTTTGACACAATTCCCTGACATACATGGCAGCTGTCATACAGTAGGACATCTTAGGCCACTGATGGCAGACATACTGTATTTACTAACAAATGACCCAATTTGACCTTGAGTCACCTTTTAGCTACTGAGAACAACTTTATTTAGAAACCATTCGATTTCAGCCTGACTCATCATCAGTGGCCCTGATACAACCACCAGTGGCAGCACTGAGTGCCCTGCTGCTCTTCAAATTGACATGGTTTCATATATAACACCTCACACTGTTCATATCATGATTTTTGTCAATTTATACCAACTGATACTTTAAGAACCAAGAAACTTAATGACAAAATAAATTATTTGTCAGTGCCTTCCAAATCCGCAGCAAAAAGGCAGTGCTGAAGTCGAGACCACCTTTTATAAGTCCAAGAGCAATACTCGTCGAGACCGAGTCCAGATAAGTAAGACAGTGAAGACCAAGACAGAAAAATCGGATGCTTTTGCCATTACCAATGACATGAGTTCTGGCAGGTTACCGGGCATCTAAAGTCGATGTCCGTTCTAGGTGGATTTTGAATGAAACCAAGCGCCCTTCATCAATGGTTTTGGAGGAAGTTACTTTGGCAAAAGAAAACATATATTGCTGAACCAATGGCCGAGTCCAAATACCAAAGGGTCCAAGCCAAGTCTGAGATAATAGAAATCACTGCAAAAGGGTTCACATGACAAATGTTTTTTCATCTGATGTCACTATTGTTAAGGCAGTTGACTTGTTGAGGTTAGAGAAACCTCTGACCAGGTTTTGGTGAAAATAAATATTTGTAAAGGTTTGGGGAGCTTCATTGTCATGGTTTAAAGGAACCATCTGTTGGTAGAAACTGGAAAAAGAATGATAGACTTTGAAGTTTTATTACAATGTCTCGCTAGACTTCCAACTTTGCTCCTGGCAGATAAGTACGGAAGCGCATTGCATTCACTGGATTAAAAAAAATTTGACACCATATCTCATAATTACGAGATCAGGATCTCGTAATTACGAGAAAATATCTCGTAATTACGAGATAAGATAAAGAAAAAGGAAACGTCTGTAAATCCTCTCAGTTACGGAAGCGCATTGCATGTCAGCCATGTC